TCAGTCGAAACGTTAGGCCATATTGAATAAATTGTTCCACCTATCAACCTCGTAAGGCACAAGCATATTATAACGCTGTGCCTAGTCTCCAAGAACAGAATTAGACAAGATCCTGCGTGACTCTCTCCAACGACTTTCATTTCTTGCCACACTGCACTTCTTTTCTTGCTGCCATTATTTTTTATTTACTTAGTTTACACCCCTTAACTGCATCATCATCATGGTGATTTACGAACCTATCAACAATTCCTTAGTTTATAGTATTTTACCCCGCTTCTATGCTTTTATTCTTATTCTGCAGTATCCTTACTTCGGCTACCGACGCAACAGTTTGCAAAATTGCCACCATTACCTAGAATTTTATTTTTCTGGTCCCGAGGGGTTAGAGACAGTAGTGAAAGCGAATTTCTACTTTGCAGTAGCAGAACTGAGCAAAAACTAGTCAGTAATCGCCGCACGTGGCAACCCTGATCGTGGTGTCCTCACCTGCACGGCGTCGGATTATGGTAATCCCAGATTTGCACAACAGTTTTTTTTTAACTTCGCAATCTTGTAAGCTTTCTTTCTATACCTTTTCTTCGACTTTTCTTACGTTACGCAAGACGGGATTTGACAATAAAACGAGCGAAAAAATGAATCAGAGCCATGGATGAGGATTTTTGGCAAAAACTGAAGGGAAGTAACTCCGGAGTAAGTCAGCTTACCCATACCGGACCTCCTCCCTCCTAGGCCTGGGCAAAAGCTTATCCAGCAGAGAAACTGTAGTTACTGCGAATGGCAGCAAGAAGTCTTACTAGTCATGCGAAATTGTCTTTAGGATTATTTGGATTCCTGGCGTAATTCTGGATTATCGACTTTTCTGGCTCAGTAGGTAAAGAAGCATTAAGGTAAGGCCAATAAAGAGTAGCCATCTTGGAAAGGTTCTACCGAGTATTCACAAAGCAAGAACGCTTTTAACTGGTTTAAAACACCTTGGGCGATCCATACCAAGGCACCGTGCATTGGACATGGGTCGAGGTTTATTCAGAAGAAAGTATATTTAACATGCACAAAAAGTTTCCTGGTTACTTTTAAGTTATTCATTGCCTTTCAAGAACATTGGCATCGTGTGAAGTCTTCTTGAGTAGGTGGTGAAATAACAGCCGAGAAATTAGCACATATTTTTAAGTCATTTTAGCTAACTGTTGGTGCCTCTCTATGTTGTATGAAATCACAATAGCCAGAAATTTTGAAGCATTGGACTCTGGTCATTGTTTACGAATATGTCAGCTGATAAAAAAGAAAAAATGGACGCAACGAAAAAAGGATGATTACACAGCTGTCAATAACAACTGATTACGCACTAGACGAGACAGTAAACTAACTATGGAAAGGGGCTAGAAACATTTGGAAACTTGCTTTCATATGAATAAACAGCGGATAAAGAAGTGGTGAGATTAATCCTGACGAAGCCCCATCAATCTCCCACTCACTATATCGACAAAACAGGTGGCGACGTGCAGCATAACGTAATGTGTGCAGGCGCACTCGGCCCGCGCTTGCCGTCGCCACTGTCGCAGAGGCTGCGGCGGCCAGTTCGATTTGGTTGGCACAATGGGTGGTCGTCGCTGCTTTTCGACCACCTAGCATCGGTTATTCTACGTTGCACCTCCTCCGATCCGCCACCTACTCATTGATTCTGCCGAAGATTGCATTTTCACGCTTCATTCTATTGGCGTGAGGTCTCATTTGCCGCTACGAAGCGCATTCGAGCAATTTTTGGCATTATAGCTTTGTAAAGTTGGAAAGTTGGTGTGAAGAATCAGCCCACAATAGACACTCTTCTAATCTTGTAATGGACATTTTTCTTTCATCATGATCGACTTTCAATAGACCTTGGCTTCGTGTGAGCTCTCCTTCAGTAAATGTAAAGCAGTTTTATTTCATTGTTTGCGTAAACATAACAAAATGAGCTTGTTTATTTATATTGCTTTCCTCCATAGTTGTACTGTGAGCTTTTATCAGTCTGTACCGCAGTTTCTAAAGAAAACGTACAGGTTTACTGGTACCTTTACTTTATCACTTGCATAGTCCTTAGTGCATTCCTACTTTACGACTTCTATTGCAAATGCAGTTTTGCGAGCGTACAGATGGTTTTTGAATATTCATATTGAGCTCCTATTCCGATTTGCCCGTTCCATTTCATTTAGCGTTTTGGTTGTGCGATCTTCCTTGAAGCTGGCCTGAAAATTACTAACTATACAATGCTAGGTTGGTCCAAAAGAATTGCGCCAAACTTACACCCTTTTCTCCGCTAACGTAGTGGGGAAGAGTGACGGCCTGTTGCAGGGCATCGGGAGAAACCCATAAGGGAGTCTTGCTTGGTCGCTGGGAAGAGGGTCCTATTTGTCTTTGAGAAAAACTTATTGGGCCACAAGAGTGGTTTCGCTATTGTAGTACGGTCAATGGAAGGAATAGGGTAATGAAAAACTTCTTAAAAAAAGGTAGGAAGTTGCGAAAACTTAGGAACTTGGTAGGTAGGGTGCGAGGGGGGGGTGCACCCTAGGGGACTAGATGAGGGGACTTTGGGGGAGGGGGTCGTACCAGATGAGCGGACTTGGGGGTCGTAATGACACCGCCCTTTTACACATTACGGTGTTATACCCTGGCCGCCTCATTCTAAACTGCTAGCGCTCTTTTTTCGAACAGTTATAACTTTAATCTGCGCTTATTTTGAGGGACCACCGCTGTGGCACTAAGCTGCGATGTCTGTGGTCGTCCGCCCTTCCTTTAGCTTGACCTTAGGGAAAAAAGGGGACCACTGCTTAAGAGAGGAGCGCAGTCGCCGTGATCACCCTCCTCTCGAATCGTGGCCCGCTCCGACTACGTCAGCGCCCTTCATGACCCATAGATGTACAACAAATGACCCATCACTTATGTTTAACGCTTCACTGGACTTCATACCAAAGACTTTAGAACTAATCTTGCGGCTAGACCAAAACAACGGACAGGCCAAATTCGCGCTTCCCCCACTCTCTTTGATCATCAAGTTTCTCTCTCGTTGATGAAGCCCGCAACAAGTGCTGCTGAGACGGGGCCAGTACAGGAGAGATGGAGGGCGCAGCAGAACTTGAGCGGTTTTTTAAGGTGCCGCGAAAATCCAATTTCACGACTAATAGATTTACTAAAATAACTGGTGCGGAACTCTCGGACCTATCACCATTACTGTCAACACTTTCCTGTACCTGTATCAGCCTGTATCACCTGCTTTCCTGTACCTGTATCAACTTATGTCACCTGCTGGTCCGCTTCGATAATATTCTGGAGTGAGAGAGCTAAGCAAATTGACTCGTGCGAGCAATATGTAGTCCCATTGGTTCATTCTCAATTTTATTATTTATTACTTGCTTTTGCACAATAATCATTTAGACCGGAATCAGGGACGAATTACATTTGACTCTGTCTTTCCTAGAACCCCTGCTTTAGTGCCTATGAGATTAAGGGCATTTGGCTGCTCTTTTGTTCTAACAGCCAGCGGCTTGTCTTTTTCCGATGGGTCCTCAACATCGAAATGGGAATGGAGCGAGCCAAATGGCGGGGAGCCCTCACCATATGGCGAGCAGTGGTTGCGGTGTTTGTTCGACATCTCAAGGACCAGTCCATTGATGTTCCTCGAAAAACAGCGTATTGTACACTGAAGTAACCTACATTTATCGTAGGTCTTGTTTTATTGCCTTTTTGACATCTTTTACCTATTTCTGCCCTACTCCTCGGAATTCAGGCTCTATTTTCATGGAAAATTTTCCCTGTCGCACGTATGCTTGAGCTAAACTTTGTTTGAGGCCAGAGGCAAAATATGCATCTGCTTTGAAGTTAAACACGTCCTGGTGGCTCACGTCAGCAGGCGCCGGCGTTGAAGAGACAGATTTTGGGCTCAGGCGCGCAGAAGCATCGTAAATAGTCTAGTTCGCTGCCGGATGAGGGGTGTGTCAGGCGGTATGATATAGGCCCCAGCTGGCCTTATCACACTCACTGAGCGTACTCGCTAACAAATGTAAAAACGTGCGAATAACGAAGATTTTTTGATACGGTCCTGTCACTTGCTCACTTCAGCAGCTGGTGGAGAACGGGTCTGGCATCGCACCAGAACATCCCCCCTGACACGTCCGCAGCGAACTACGCTATACTAGCTTTTCAAGTCGAACGGATGTGGCATTCGTGTTCAGCGGTAAAGGTACCCTCGGGGACGCATTTCTACCTAACTACCCACAAGGAGAGTTTCGATCAAAGTTTGAACTGAATTTCGAAAGGTGGGGCATTAAAAGGGGAATAGGGCCCTCTTTTTCAGTCTGTGATGTCTTATCTTTCTCTTTTGCCCTGTATTCTGTCAGCGTTTCGCAATGGTCAGGTACCAGTTGCCTTACAATGTTGCTGAAAAGTTACATTTGAGGATCGGACGCTAGCCTAGCCCATCATGGAACTGCGAACATCTCGCCTTTCTTCACCATGTTAAGACGTCAGGACAATAGAGTCAATGCTACGACATTTCCCCGAAAGCTTGTTGTATTCGTACTTGTAATATTCTGCGCTCCTGCTGTATATCTTCTGATAGGTGAGATTACTAACAAATTGATATAGGCGAGTCAAAATGTAACCGTAATATCAAAGTTTAGGATCTTCTGGAAACCAACTGCAATATCTGGACTACACTTCATCAACGTGAGTGGGATTTCCACATCTGCAGTTGATATCGTTGCATTCAGAAGGGGCGGTTCCAAGAGGGATGAAAAGAGTCCAGGCGCGGCGCTTCGGCCACTGGTTCTTTTCTTCCTAATCGATCACCATTGGTCAAGCAAGGTAGCCGGAGGCGGGCTCATTCCGCCCTTCCTGACACCGCCTCCACCGGCTGCGACGTTATCAGTGCGTGTGTAATACTGTGTATCCTTGAATCCATCTCAAGACTCATTCCATAACTCAGAAGTGTTATTTGATATGTTCCATATGTTCAAAAATCTCCAGAAATGACATCGAAGCGACCTGGAACACCTAAAATTGCCGTGTCGATTTTGGAGCGTTTGGAGCCAGATATTTCTATTCACACGGAGGAATCTTCATCATGGGATACGTCGTTCAGTCACCTCATAGAGAATCCAGAACACGGGTTAGCTGTGGCATACTGTAATTACAACGCTTGGTTTGTTTAATACGATGTCCTTATTGTAGGTTTACGATTGCCGGCAACGATGTCTTGGTGTTTGTTCATATTCAAAAGACCGCTGGGACTTCATTTGAAAAGTTCCTCGTTCGTCATCTTGATATTGAACATCCTTGTCACTGCGTTAAAGGCAAGAAGCGATGTAGTTGTCCGAGGCCAAATAAACCAAATGAGGTGAGCCTTTAGCTTCTCTAGCCAGTGCTCTGTTGAAAGAATGTACACCCTTGTGGCACTCTATTGCATCATTTAATACCGCGCTGAGTGCTGTTAAGTGCTCATTAATAGAATCATCGGCCCTATACT